TAGCACTTGAATATATATATATATATATATATATATATATATATATATAGTTCTATTTATTGTACAGCAAAGATAAAGAGATATGTGGTAAAGTTTCACCTTCTGGCCTGTGGTCCCACTGCTGGCCCTGGAACAGGACTCTTTCAAGTCCTGGTATTCTTCCGTGGGACAGATGAAGTTCCATAGGATAGATTAAGTTCCACATGGATGACTATGGCCCAATCACTGCCAAGCTCAAGTTAAGTCCAACAGCATAAGAAGCAGGAAGTCCTCCACAGTTTTCTCTCCATCTGCCCCCTTGCTGTCTGTCCTTCAAATCAAGGCCCACCTCCTTCAAGACTGCACCCTTGACATGCACCTTGGTGCACTCATTCCTGAGACCCACTGTGATGGATGGGGTCTTCTCAATTATTCATTATTAACTTATCTGTTTTATCTTGCTTAGGGAGAGCAAGTTTAGCAATAGCAAAATACAAAATGTTCTTATGGCCAGGTGTCAATAACCAGTACAAAGTTATCTGTAATGCACTGTGGGGCTTATGTAAATATTCTTAACATCTAAGCGAAAACACTCAGCATGTCTCTCATTTCATCTTTTTCAAGGTGAGATAATCACAGTCCTATTCTATAAGAAATTCCCCATATGCAGTTCTACATAGTCCTCAGTGTCATTTGTATGCCAACTGCGAGAGAGGCTTTCGTAAAACTCTTCACTGTCGTAGCCTTCGATGAAAGTTTACAGCGTGAAATCAAAGTGTAATGGTATGTGGGACTAGGTAGTAAGATCCAAGTATGCATTTTTCCAGTGCTCTAGCTTAATTCAGTGTATGACCTAAATAGATTTTACAGAAATGAGTGGATTGCCTGTCATTCCATTTTCCATAAATATAACTTTTACGAATAATCCTGTAATATGCAACAACGTGGATGAACCTTGAAGACCTTATCTTAAGTGAAATAAGCCAAGCAAAGAAAAATACCGAATGATCTCACTTATGTGTGAAATCTAGAAAGGTTCAGCTCATAGAAGCAGGGGCTGGGGTGGGGGTTGGGAAGACATTGGTCAAAGGGTACAAAATTTCAGTTAGAAGGAATATGTTCAAGAGATCTATTGTACAATATGCTGACTATAAGTAATAAGAATGTATTGTAATCAATGTATTGTAAAACTTAGAAATGGCTAAGAAAGTCGATTTTAAGGGTTCTCGCTACAGTAGATGGTAAGTATGTGAGGTAATGCATATGTTAGTTAGCTTGGTTTAGCCATTTCCTAAATGTATAAATATTTCAAAACATTATGTTGAATACCATAAATACATACAATTTTTGTCAATTAAAAAAAATAAATAATGAAGGAAAATAATAGGCCTTTGGTAGGAATTGGGCATCAGTCAAGATCAAGTCTGTACAATTTGGCAAGGGCCTGAAGTGCAAGTGCCTGTGATATGTAATGAGGGTGAATCCAGATTCTTGGGAACGTGAATGAGCAAGTGCCCGATATGTGACTAGTTAGGGATTTTAAGGACTATACAAATGCCTAGGACAGAGCAGTTATTCACAAAGAGATTTAATCTTATTTGACTCATTTCTCTCTATAATGATGATGTATTTTATTTCCATTCTCCCTAACATGTTAGTAGATGTGTACTTTAAGCATACTGAATATGAAAAACCAAATTTATATGAATTAGAAATTAGAAATTAATAATTAACTTTTACAAAAGGATTCTTATAAAATGACTAAAAGTTCAGTTTACCATGTAACATTTTGTTCTATGTAACAGTTCTTGTGCAAAGCGGGACATGATTGTAGGAAAATAGCAAGAAATGCAAGACAAATACACAGTAAGCAATTAACATTTATTCAGACTGAGCTTGTGTTATATTCAAGATACTATGTGAGATACTTCACAAGCTAACCATGTGAAATAAGGCATAGCCCCAGTAGTGTTTTTTTTTTCTTTTTTAGAGCATAAATCTTGGCCTGACAACCTGCTGTTGTCACCCCCAGACTGGTGGCCCTTGGCTATGGAGTCTCCAGTATTTGGAGCAGAGTGTGAAAACCAGCTAGTTCTAACCTCACTCCGTTCAGTTCTCAGGCTAGTGGGGAAAGACAAATTATCAATGAGACAATCTCGTTAATAACATATGAGAAATCCACGTAGCAGGAATGATGGTTGCTGTTGGAGAAATGCAGCCTCTGCATTTTGATTTTCTGTCCTACTCTTATCTGTATGATGATACTTGGTACCATATTCAGAATGAATTTGTGAATTCCAGTAGAAAACTAAAATTCAAAGAGCACTAGGCATGAGCTGGCTCCATGTGATGAGAGAGTAGAACTGCTGCATTTTTTTCTTTTCTTGTCTCTGAGAAGGCTAAACCAAAGAAAGGTATAAATATGCTATTGAAAAGAAAAGCTCAAAAGGAAGTAAAGAAAAAATTGAGAAAAATAAAGCCTGCAGCACAAGAAATGAATCTGTGCCTTTAAATCACATAGTGAA